ATTGTTGGATAAATTAAATGTTTTACCAATGTAAAGTATTTAATATTAACCAATCATGATCCATCTAACTAACAACCCACTTATTTGTAAGTGCTGAAGTTACTTGTAATTTCAGCACCAGAGAGATTTGAATTTAACTTAGAAATTAGTTGGACTCTCCCGAGCACTTCAGCAGCCGCAATAAACCAGTATACCCTAGATCTATTGAGCCTAGCAGAGACTAGTTAAACAACCTGAGACTAGATAGTATAAGAGTAAGATTAGGATCGGTATTAGACTAAGAAGTTGCACGAATCTATCCGGCCGAAAATAAGATAGCGTGACGAGCAGACGGTGTACCCTATCCGAAATTACTCTATGAGTTACACTTCGGTTCTAACTCATCTGGTGCGACCATAAGTCTCGAACAAGACCTTATTAGATTAGAATTAACCAAAAATAGATTAGAAATTAGACAAAAACATTTACAAAATGTTATACGACAATAATTTAATTGAAATGTCTCTCCGACTCAATAGATCAGAGCCAATATTCCGAACCATAATAGAACTACCCGGAATTGGAAGAAGACCTCGAACCAAAGACGACATACGACAAAGTAGAAACTTGCCGTATAGTTATATGATAGTTCGGCAAAAGCCAGAACAAACTTTTATATTTCGAATACTACTTGCAATGAATTTAGATTTCCATTTGCAAACATAAAACCTTGAAGTTACTCTTCAAAAATCATTTCAGGCGCTAAACAAAATTAATATTATACAATAACGATTGATAAAAAAATCTAAGATCGTTTTCCTAAAACTCTGCAGTATTATACAAAACATGTTTGAAAAATATTTATTGGAAAATAAAAATAAAAATTAGTAGCATGACAATAAATGGTTAGTAATCATAAATCATCCTGTTGTTCCAGCTTCATCACCTAAAACATAACAGCAATCATCAACTCACTAACATCATAAAACACTAAATCTTTCCTTTACACAAATTTAAAACTTTATTAAAACTTAAAGTCACTTAATTTAAAATCAGATCATCAAGGCTTATCCTTGGATCTTAAATCATTTTCTACTTAATTAAATTTCAAACTTGATCATCAAGGCTTATCCTTGGATCAAACAGAACAACTTTGTTCTCCCCCACCCACTTAATTAGTGTCTAACGACCTCAAACGTCGATTCACTACCCAACCCTATCTAAAGACCCAAGACTAATAGAAATTTTTAAACAAAACTAATCATTCAAATTAGGATAAATAGTGAAGAACTTCGGTTATTCATCCTTCACTTGACCCCCCCTCTTACCAGACCCAGGATAAATCTTAGACTTAGTAAGTTTAAAATAGTATCTAACGAACTACTCGCGTTCTAATTATACCTGAACCTTGTGGATCGATTTACTATTCTCCAACCCTTGAACACAATCACTACCCCTAAGTAAGATTAAGTAAGTTAACACCTTAGCTTATACTAGTCACGAGAAAGTAAAAATCATTCTTCGGAATCGATATACTTTTCTCTCCAACCCTGAACAAACAGACCCAGGTTAAGCTAACCAAAAAATCGTAAGAACTAACAGTTTAAGAAAATAGAAACCATTTAACAACCTTTTGCATCCGTCATTCTAAACCTTATGTCATTTAAAAACCTAGGAAATAAACAAACAATCGTTTTACACAATTGTGAAATAGATAACAAAAAATACGACCTTGTAATCACACCTCATACACAAACAGTTGGATACATTCGAACAAAACGACAAACACTAAAGAGGAAAATAATAACTAAACAAAGACAAATAACACGAAAAAGATTTTCAAAAAATCGAAACGCATTTTCAGAATCAGAAACCAACAGTTTAGACGAACTTTACAAACTAAAAGAATCAATAGATAAAAATTACCCACTTCACGATCAATTATATTTTTCTGACTCAGAAACAACTTCAAATTCATCACAAAGAGGAAAAAGAAGAATAAAAAAACAGTACAAACACAAACCAGTACATCTATATAATTGGAATCAACCAATTCGACACATTAATAATTACATATTAACAGTCATCGAACGAAAAAATGAGCTCAACGCACACTCCAGGTGAAGAAACTCCAGATGATGATGAAATCTTTCCTTTTATAGTAGATGCAGATACTGATAGAGGACAACACATATTTTGTCAAAATTTACTCGTAAATTTATTTGAACCCGGAATTAGTCCATGTAAAACAGAGTTCCCCGATGTAAAAATCAAAAGACAAATCATAGATCACTATCTAAAAGATATATGCAACATAACACAACAGTATGGAATCTACTCTATAGAATTCACTTCCCCAAACCATAATAATAGAACATATACTATTCAAACAGACGATCTTGATTTAGAATTTTCAAAAGTTTTTTCAGAATATATAAAAAGCATCCAATACCATAACTCACAAAGAGCAAACTCCATTTTCACCAATGAAGTTTTCGCAATAATATATAGTTATATTTCGATATTAGAAAATGAACTACCAATAACAAATGTCTCACCGACAGAAACATCTAAACATTTAAGAGTACGACATGAAATCACACTACTCTCTAGTTATTTAAACATCATTAAAGAAAATTTCACGAAAGACGACGTTTCACAACATACAAAACACGATTTACAAAAAATCTTGGCATGGTTCATAATAGATTATTTCACACATAATATTGATTTAATTGCACAAGCAAGAAAAAACTTTAGACCCCAAAACTCGAACGATGATACCGCTATCACAGAACAATCAGATTATGTTTGGGACCCCGAATGGTCTCATCCCGCATTTATAAGCTTCCCACAATCAATCTCAAGTCAAGCAATAAGTACGATATCTTACATAAGAGACTATGTAAGAGTAATACCATTAACAATTGATGCAACACCATTAAACTATAATACATTTTTACCCGATACACAAAATAATAGTTTAAACTCTACAGTTATACACAATGAAAACCTCAATGGAACTAGGAATCTTACTCAACAAGATATCCAGACACCATCACACTTCATAAATGAAGAAATTGTACACACAACAACTACACAACAAAGTATTTCACCAATACGCCCAAATTTAACAACACCAAGAAATACAAATCCTTCACAAACACAGGTAACCTTACAATCAACCGTTAAACCTTCGGTTGCCCCTAAATATTCACATATGGATTACCAAACATACAGACCCATGACAATACCATCAAAAACACGCAAAACATTCAATAGAAACAACTTTGCAGACCATAATTATAATTATACACATCCGTCAAAAACAAATTATCAACCACAACGGAATTTTAATCAATATACAAAACCTCGAAACTGGGATAACCCAACGGCCCAATATAATTCCAAAAATTTTCAACCAAATCCTCCACAGGATCGCAGTGAAAATTACCCATTTTTTCAACAAAATAAAAATAAAAAACAAACATCTTATCAAATGGATTATTTATCCTCAGATGATGATTTTTTACAACCAGATATATTTGCACAAAATACTCAAGAATATCGTAGACAAGGAATACAGAAAACACGTACAAATCATAGGAATTTTTCTCCACAACTAATAGATGCACAACATCAACAATCAATTCAACAACAAAATCCAATTAATACACAATCTTTTCAACCAATTCAACAACAAAATCCAATGACTGCACACTCGTATCAACCATCACAAATGCAGAATGAAATACCACTCCCATATTATCTTCAACAACATGAAATAACAAGAAACCAACTTTCAAATTTTTCTCAAATGCCAAATGCAGCAGAATCATTACAAATGACAATGAATCCATACCTTATGGGTGGATCATCAATAACATCAAACAAACCTTTAATGGTTTTCACAGGAACAGACCCTGAATATTCTGTAGAAGATTATTTAAATGCAGTAACAGCAAACCTGATTTTAAACATTGGACCTGAACCAATTAATACGCCACTACATCAAAACTGGATACATCGACGCACAGCGTTGATACAAACAACCTTAGATGGCGCAGCCCAAAAATGGTTTTCAGTACTACCTCTAGAAATAAAATCAAACTGGAAAAGATTTACACAAGAATTTTCAAAAATGTTTGACTCTGAAAGAAACAAACAACAACAAAGAGTTTTATGTAATGAAATTCGCAGATTACCAAACGAAACCATCAAGCAAATAGCAGTACGAATCGAAACACTAGTTCGAAAAGCATACTCACTAAATACACATGACTATAAAAACACAAAGATGACAGAAATCTTAATGATGACCTTAACACCACAATTAAGGAAAATAGCAATAAAAAAGAGAGCATCCCATCCTTCTTCAATTCGAGAACCCGATTTAGATTTTCGAAAACTAGTAGACAAATTAGAACAAGCAGAAATCACGATGAAACTAGAAGAAACGGAAAATCTGAAATTACAATACGTTAACAAAATTGAAACGACTCCCACAAATATTAATAATATACAGGAATCAGAAACAGACCTCGTTGAAAAGATCACTGAAATACTCAATATTTATGAAAAGAACCCAAACTTCAAAGGCAAACCATCTTTCAAAAAATGGTGTAATTATTGCCGACGATACGGACATAGTATTTCCGAATGTAGACAAAAACAGCAAGACAGTCAAAATAAACCTCAAAAATACAAAGAACCAAATAAATCATTCTATCAATACATGAAAAAAGATCAAAATCTACCAAACAAAAATGTATACAGCAACAACAGTTCAGGAAAGCCACTTCCGAACAATACAAGTT